ACCGGGGATCGAACTCCAGTCCTTGCACTTGCAAGGCAGGCGGTGGAACGACTGAGCTAAATCCCTGGCTCTAAAATTTTTAATTGTAATAAGATGACTAATTATAAAATTAGTCATTTTAATCATTTTTAAGTGTATGGTTCAGTGGCATTAAATATTTTCACATTGTTGTGTAAATATTACCACCATCTATCTCCAGAACTCTTTCATCTCATAGAATGAAACTCATTAAACAATAATGTCCTGGTCTAGGGATGTAGCTCCGTGGCACCATGCCTGCCTAGCAAGTGTAAGGTTCTTAGTTCAATCCCTAGTACTGAAAAACAAACAAACAAACATGCAAACCATAATGCCCCATCCCCACTTTTCACGTCTCCTACCAACACCATACTGCTCCTAGTCTCTGTGCACTCACTACTTAGGTATCTTATGAAAGTGAAATCAGTTTTTATCTGTTTGTACCTGGTTTATTTCCCATACCATAATGTCCTCAAAGTTCACGTGGTAGCATTTGTCAGAATGACCTTTTTAAAGCTGAATAATATTATTTTGTATGTGTATGCCTGGTGTATGCCTTTTGAACTCATGTCCAAGGAGCAAAATTACTCAATTTAGTCTTGATATTAATAATTAATAACATTAATGTCATATTAGTTTGTTTTTCCTTGAATGACATTGCTGATTATGTATCTCGATTCATTAAGTATATTTGGTTTTTTGTTGTTTTGTTTTCATTTGAATGGGAACATGGGCTCTTACAGGAAGACCCATGTCCATTTTTTAACAGTGGCAAGGGTTCATGTTTATTACAGGTAGAAAAAAAAAAACGGATAAGGGAAAAATGAGAGTTTGGGCCAAGTAAAAAGGGAGGAAAAAGTAAAAATAAAAATACACCCTACAGCCTAGGGTGGCCTATCATGAAGAGGAACAGTAGCTTTATATCTGTTTTAGAGGCCAGATTTTTAAATAGATAACTGGGGACTCATTGAAAGTTAGGAGTTCTTGTGTCAGGAAGAGGAATACAACACCCCTTCTCTCCCACCACGAGTGCTTCCCAGCATCAGCAGGAATGTTGCCATTAATGTCTGGAAGACGGTCACCTAAGTGGGGAAAGCTGAGGTGGTGGAGGTAGCCATGACAGACCACTGAGCCTACACTAAAGTTTAGAGAAGCTTCATGGAATGCCATGGGAACCACAAACGGAGACTGTGGTTTTGCCTGGATTTCATCCTCCCTTGTCACCTTCCCTGTCCATTCCATTTACATCCTATCCTCGCTCTGTTTCATGGCTCACCTCTACCCCAAGGGTCACTGGGGGTAATTTTATCCCTGGGGACATTTGGCAATATCTGGAAAAACTATTTAACATGACCGAGGTGGGGTTCCTGCTGGTGTGTAGTGAGCAGAGACCAGGAATGCTTCTGTGTATCCCACAATGCACAGGACAGGCTCACACCAATCATCTGGCCCAAATGGCAAGGACACTGCTGTTAAAAAAGCTTCCTCCAGCTTCTCATATGTCACCTCCCCTTCTCTGTGTGTAGATTTGGGGGGTACAGGGAGTTGATCCCAGGGTCTTCACACTGAGCCATGTCCCTGTCCCTTTTTCTTCTTTACTTTGAGACAGGGTCTCGTGAAATTGCTCAGACTGAGTTTAAACTTGTGACCCTCCAGCCTCAGCCTCCCAGAATGCTGGGATGACAGGTGTGTGCCACTATGTACAGACAGCTCCACCCATTTTTAATATAAAAATGTCCAGATTTCTAAGGTCTCCTATTATGTCTATAAACCAGTGTTAAGCATCAGGGTAGAATTGGGGAGGTGAGGTGAATGGGAACAGATAATCGAAATCTGGCTGTTCTTCATTGTAAAGAAAATATAAGGTCCTTGAAACACAGAAGAGCCCCCATGGGGAAGTCTTTCTCCAAACCCTGGCCCTGCATGTCCCAGGTCTGGAGGTGGTTTGGCCCATGGCCCTGCTGCCCCTGTACTGCTTGCAGAGTAGCCTTTCCTGCCCTTTTAGGAACCTCAAGCTATTTCAAGATGGATGCTGGTCATTCATATCACCTGCCACTAGCCCCATTTCCATCTCTGGCCGCCTGCTCAGGCCTTCTCCTCCAGTGACTGTGTGATCACTGCCTCTATCGCCTTTTTAATTTTAACCACTCGATCATATTTTAGTTATCAGAAAATCTGGCACTCAGTCAAGGAATTCTCAGTTCTGTGACCAGAACACTAGTTACTTTTTCTTTATTTCATGGCAGCCCACTTCTGTTGTCACCTTTTGCACTTGGATGTCTCAGGAAGACACCTAGCCACTAATCCCAGTGGCTTCTACCCACAAACTACCCTTCTTTTCTTTCAAGATTAGAGTCCATGTTTCATCCTTTATTTTTTTCCTTGAAAATACACTTCCATTGATTTTTTCTTCTGTCCTAAGACTGGATGTTTGGAACAGCATTGACTATGGATTGTTCTAGTTAAAGTCACAAAAGATTCAGTGGAAATTTTATTTTTTTGGTACCAGATATCGAACTCGGAACCTTGTGCTTGAGAGGCAGGCAGCTGAACCACTGAGCTAAATCCCCAGCATGTTATGGGTTTATTGGGGGAAACTGATAACTTTATGATACTGAGGCTTTTATCTACAAATCTTTCTGTAATATACTCAGATTCTTTTATCACTTCATTTTAGGAATTTCTTGATAAAAGATCAAGCAGACTCCATTTTTCTTGATAATCCCTAATTTATTAATTTGGTTCCTGTGGTTCCTGCTAAGTCAATAAAGAATTCAGAACTTTGGGAGGCTGAAATAAATCAAAAATTTTTCAGCAAGTTCTAGTTTTTTCTACTGTAGAAATGTTAAATACTATGCAGTATCAATGTCAGTACCTCAGTTCTTCAATTCTTTGCTCATGTGTTGTTCTCTTCTATCAGTTAAAAAGGTGACGTAAAACTGGTTGTGGCTTTGAACAGGAAACGTGTTTCTCTGCAGTTAAGGCCAAACTTACTGGTGGAGAAGTTCTTTCCCCCCCCCTCCGTTCCTTGCAAGCATCTCAGGAATTTTCTTTGTTCTCAGTTTTATTACTTCTATCTCCCCACCAAATATAAATGAGATGTGGCTCTGTGCACTGAGCTTGCTGTCTGTAATATCTGATAACTTTGCTGGGCCCAAATGATTTGTGCTCTATGTAATAATGCAAAGAGCTTAGCTCCTGCAACCCTGCCTTTGTGTTTTCAATAGAGAAAAGGTGGAGAACACATGGATTCCAAAGATGCTTGCTGTCTGTCACTAAGGGTCAGCAGAAAGTGGGCTAACTATGGGCAATGTACTCTTAGCCTAACTACAGTGATATCTTGGTTGACAAACTTAATTCTTTCCCTGATTCCCGTTGTGGAATTCATTCCATGATTCTTGTTGTAATCGAATTGCAAGCATGTATACAGTCTAGGTTGCAACCATAATTGTGGAACAAATTCTGTGAGCGGAATCATGGAAAGAATTAAGTTTGTGAACCGAGGTACCACTGTTCGTACTGTAGAGAAGAGCTGGAGCAGGAATAAAGGTGCATCAGAGGTTGCCCCTAGGCTGACCATAGAATTATCCAATCCAGGCCACTGTTGGAAAGTGAAAAGACACCATTAGTTACCCTGCAGCAACAGGTAGGAATTGGGACTATCCTGAGCAAAATGAGACATAAAAGCACCCTGGGTTTTTTTGTTGTTTTTGGGTGTTTTGTTTTGGTAGTGGGAGTCGAACTCAGGATCTTGCACTTGCAAGGTGGGCGGCAGAACCACTGAGCTAAATCCCCAGCCCAGCACCCCATTTTAGTTAGCCAAAGTGCACTACACTGGCTTTCCCTCGAGTTCCAGAGAGCTGAGTGAGTATACCGTGTAAGCATGGATTGTTGGGTACAAGTAGTCATCAGAATGGACCCCACTATTTGCTTGACATCGGATCAAACACTTGAAGTAGATGAGAGGCAGCTGCACAGGCATCTGGGAAAAGAACTGAAGGGTAGCTCACACATAGCCTCAGGCAGGAATGTGCTCCCTGTGCTTGAGGAACAGCAAGGAGGGCAATGTAGCTGGAGCAGAATGAGCTGGCACTAGAGTCAGGAGTTTAGGGGTGCCCTGGGAGCATATTGTGTAGAGCCTTGAAGCCACTGGAAGGACTTTGGTTTTTCTTCTGAGTACAGTGGGGAGCCATTGCAGGCTTTTGAGCAGGGGAGAGATGATATACTCTTATTTGCATCTGAGGACTGCTGCATTGAAACTGTCGAGACAAAGTTGGAAGGAGGATGCCAGTGCAGTAATCCAAGCCAAGAGAGAAAGGAATCTCAGATCCAGGAGTCTGCACTGGGGGTCGTGAATAGTCGTCGGATTCTGTGTGCATTTGAGACAGAGCCTCGAGAGTTCCTGGTGGATCAATTGGCTGTGAGTTGGCAAAGAGAGGAGTCAAGGATGCCTCCTGGGCCATTTCCCTGAACTGTGGAGACAGAGAAAGCTGAAGGTGGAGCAGGTTTGAGGGGACAGCAATGGCCAGTTCAGATGTCTAAGTGGAGATGCTGAGCAGACACCTAGGTGACAGGGAGAGGTCAGGATGGAGCTTTAAATGTGAGAGCCATTGGCCTGTAGGTGAGAGTTGATCAAAACTAGTGACCTCCATCTTAAATGGACCCAAACAAGAAAAGAAGATCAGTTTCTATTAACACTCCTAGGTTTTTATTTTTATAACTTAAGGAGAAATTCAGACAAGAATAATGTATAAAGCTAAGTATATCTTTTGTTTTATACATCCCATTGAGGGATGACCCACCTCTTTTCCTCACTTTACACAAATGCTATTTCCTTCACT